ATCACTTCGATTTATGGTCCTCCTAGCGTCAACGAACAAAATAACATATGTGTGAAATTCGGATCATTTATCTTTCGATCGTTCTATTCAAAAATTTATTGATTACAGTTCTCCGAATGCAGTAACTAACATTTCTTTCCATCGCTATACATATGTGAATCGATTTATACTATTGAGGTCAACATTAAGTAATAGAAGACTTTGTTCATTCAAAGTTAGTTCAAATTAGTTTTTCATTTACATACATATTGCCTTTAGTTGAAACATTGCATATTATTGCTAATTATAAATAAGGTTTGTTTGTCGAATAGGATAAAGTGGTGGATGGTTTATGCGATAAGTGTGCAACATTTTTTTTTCGTAATGATATCAAAAGTAAAGTTTTATTCTTTGGTAATTCTCTATTAAGGATTAATTGAACAGATAACAAAACACATTACTAGGGTATAATTTCGTATTACCGTAGTTTTATAAAAATTATAAGAACCTTTCATCGTGTTTAACCCAACAAGCAGAGTGTGCGTACTACAATTTCGTACAACGGTATGTTTGTGGTAATGTTTTCTTTACTGTTACCGACGCATACTGTATCTTAACCGATTCACTGAATGACACGATTAGGGAAACATCTACGGTTATCTTAATACCAACGTTTGACGTATCTTTAGTAGTACAGTCACCTGCATAAAGTGAAAGACAAGATATTCAGATATATAGGAACTCCTAAAGTGATCAATTTTAACAAACTCTACAAGTTTGTAGCTGACTGTACATACACACATTGGCGACATGCCATACGTTCAATGATCTGGACTAGTCTTCAAAACAACCGTACGATTTGAAATAACCAGACCTTTCGATTCTAGGGGGCGCCAGTACCGCCACAAAGGCAATCCTTTTGTCGAATATGATTTTTTAAACATCGAAATATGACAAGATAATGGAACAATAAGCTTGCTCGAAAAAATGCAATAACCAACAGAAATAATTTTCAATGAAAATCTTTTAAAGCACGTTATCGTTGTACAATAATTTGTAACAATTTTATTCTTAAATAAAAATAAGTCTATTTTATAAATATTATATTTTACATGAAAGTTGGTATGCAACAGAGACAAGCCTTCGGTGGTTAGCGAAAGCGAGTCGATGTTACATTTTCTTAACGCGATGAGGGTAGAATTACTTTTCACTCTCGCACGAGAAAGTTCACTGTTACAACTAATAAAAGTTAACTATCTATTTCAGAGGAAGATATAATAATAAGGAATAACTTGGGTCTAACGTAAACGAGGTCAATAACCGAATCGATTCGGTTGGGCAACGCTCGGGATATCTTGCTTCAATTGCCGCAATGTCTCTAAAATATTTTTTATTGTACATTAGTAATCATATGCGACTATGGTTCGTAGCCCTTTATTTGGAGCACCAGAACATAACTTTATCACGGAAAGTACATTGCAAAGTAGCAAAGTTCAAAGCACAGCGAATGAATGCATTTGTTTCCTATCACTAAAATTAATTGTGTAGGTTAAATTTGGCTGAAGTTCAGTTTAAACACAATTAGATTACGGTAGCTGTATGAGGTCATGAACTCATAGCTACCGTCTCGATCGATAGCTACGGGTAGAAGCTCCTTACAGAACGCATCTCCTCTCCACAATGTCAAGTTTAACTTTACGCCTCGCCGGGCCCGGCCACAATAAAACCGGAAACCGATTAAATGTACATTACATCTTATTGTTGCAATACAACCAGGTAAATTACGGCTTAATAGACGTAAGATTTGAAACGATGTATTTTATAAAACGAAGTATTTATCTATACATAATTCGACTATCTGTTATATCGAAAAAAGCCATATTTCTTACACATTATGTATTTGCGTAGAAGATAACGAAAAATCAAATATTTAATATTAATCTGTATGTCTGTCCAGAAGGCTGCGTTTGTTCCGAATAATTTTCGGAACTTCTAGACCGATTTTGACATGAATTTAATGTGAAGGCACTGATGAAGTCGCGGGCGCTCGCTAGTAATTATATAAAAAGGTAATAAAGTCACTTAAGTATTTTTACTTGTATCAAAAGTTTGTCACTGCTATAAAATAATGAAAATAATCAAAGTACTCATTCCTACGTAGAGTATGAGTCTTCGAATCTCAACAACGATCAACATGACCATACTAGGAGCACCACCCACATCTGTGCCATACACGGCCATACGAGACGTGAAACATAATGCCGGCACTCAGTGACCTTGAAGGTCTTATATGGCAACCACGTAATTTTATAAGTGCGGACAATCTAAGGTATTAGCAAGTATTTGTTACTGACGCATAGTTGATTTTATTTAAAGTTCGTCTAAATCAGATTATCGTTTTAACTAAATATACTAGAACAAATAGTTGCCTTCCTACTTGTATTTCAGATTTAACAAAATCTTATAAGTTCTCTTTGATGCGTTCAAGTGTACGAAAACTACGTCGACCCTCATTCTCTAAACTGCAATATATTGTTCTTATTGAACACGGCAAGGTTGCGGCATCATTATTTTTGTTTGTGACAATCTCAATGTATTAAAGCCTTCTTTGCGGATATGAGTCATATCTTTTTTAATTCAAACGTATTCGGTTTGTCGTGATAATTATTATGATGTTATTTCTTTTTTTTTAGTTTTGTTTTTGTTCTATTAAACTTCTTCTTTTTCTCACTATTTATAATGTAATATAATACGTTTAATTTGTAAAACTACACTACACTAAAATTAATTAGTAATTGTCCTCATTTTTTTCTATATTAAATATGTATTCGATTGAGAATTTTATTTTCATTGCAATTAAGAAGCATTCAAATTTAAACACACATATTTATGAGACTTAAATTATGTGTTATCATAAAAAGTTGCCGGCCTAAAGAAGCTGACCAACGAATTCCCATACTATTTATGGCGGACCAATAAAATGTAACTATGTACGAGTATTTTTATTTACTGACCATGTCAACGTTGTGATCGAAACTTACCGGTTTCATGGTAACTTTTTTAAAGGTATATGGATGCCTTGAACAATACGACAAAACCAAAAATACGTATAAAAACTTGTATCAATACCAGTAGAGTATAATTCACTCGACAAAAGAAGCGAGTGAGTTATATGGTACGTAGCTAGTAAGTAAAAGTAGATATGTCAAAACAAAGTTTTGTTTTAATATTTACTTTCGATAGAGCCATGGTATTTGACATAAAAACTTGGTACACATGTAAGTTACAAGGATGGTAACATTCAATTAATTAGAAACGCCTAAACTTAAGTATGATCGTCTAGTGACGGCACCGACGGAATTCGGACCGGTCGGGGGTCTAAGTGCGCGACGCAACGCAACCACGAAGGACCCCAGACCACCGGACAAAATGGTCACCGGACGTTCATGAGTTTGAGTTTGATGACATGAGTTTAGTTGTTCCTAATTAATTTATTATAATGTATCAGGAAAGTTTGAACAATTTAATGATAACATTATACGAAAGTATAATGGTACGGTATTTATGAAGATGCTTAAGTCGTTTTATGGTGCTAAATAGCTGATAAACTATGCGAAAACGATACTTTTTAGTTCGATAAGATAATGTTATCAACACTTGTTTGTATAGTTGTAGAGAATGTAGATTGCTATGATAACAAACTCAAATACTAGCAATAGATTATTATTTATAGTTCAAACTCTTTGGTCATATTGACCAAACTATTGGCCTCATTAGGCATGCATTTAATATTCTGAGGGTTATTTTCTTCATGCTTACTAAATCATGTGCCAGTCTCTTTTAGATTGAAATATAAAAATACATTTGATGTATTAATTTTATTATTTTGTCTTGATACTTTTATAAATATGTCAATAGGGATTAATTATAAATGCGTACAAGTTTACGTAAAAAAGTAAAAAAAATCTAATGTAAGTAGTTTTTTAAAATACAACACTGTTATACAGTTATGAAAACTTGACAAGATTTAAAAGTACAATAAATGAATACTCTTGATACGTCACCAGATAACAAAGAGTTTAGCGACGCGATGTGGTAACGTATTTATTTGTGATTCATACCGAAAGGAGGTCAGAGTTAGTTTTAGTTGAGATGAGAGGTGGCGAGTAACACAATACGTAATATTCCCAAGGTCTTTGTTTTCAAATTAAATGCATTAATGTTTTGTGATTGCAATAAGTAATTAATATGATTGACATGGTAGAAATATAATATTAATTAGATTTAATTAAAGCACACTAAAAGATAATAATGAATTACTAGTTTTTTTTTTAAGTGGGATACCTCAAATACTGTATATTTTTTATCCTGACAAATTAAGCCAAAAACTACTGAACTAATTTCAAATATTCTTTTCTTAATAAAATACCAAAGCTGTCTTTTAATAATAACTATGACAACCTACACACAGTGACTCATTTACTACACAAATGTTTGTTCAGATATGTTGGCACATTCACAGTTCTTTATTGGAATTAAGTTGTAATACAGTTTGTTTACTTAATAACATATTTTATTTTAAAATAAACTCATGCTTGTTTGAGAACTTGATAATAGTCAACAGGCAGCTTTGAACTCATGATCTCAACATTCATGGTACACACCTTAACCGCTAGACAACAGGTGCTCAAAAATTATAAGAAACCTATGCTATGTGTGATACAATAATATAATAATAAAATAAAAAATAATAGTACAACTCTTAGTTTTCTCATACATTTTAGAGCCTTAATTTAATATAATGTAGGCCAATAATTTTGAAAGATCGGCGTTAATTTTTGTTTCCTTTCTTGGTGCTAAGATAGGAAGTGAACAATGAAGTTCCCACGCAATAAATAAAAATTGCGGGACTGAATTAGAGCCGCAATAACAAGGTTATTGCACGACCGTACAGTTCAAATGTAAATCACAACTGCTTTCTAACTCTAGCAGTACACCCTGATTCATGACAATTTACTTACCAGCAGTTGAGTTTCTTTATCGCATATAAATCCGATTGCTTGGATCGTGCGATCACCATCTCTTCCGTAAGCCGAGCCATTGTAATGCACAACTCACACAAGCACTTTGTCTAACCGTTTGAACGTTAAAAACAAAATACACAAAAGGGATTAGATTGCAGAACACTCGTTACGGATCATTCTGTTTTATGTCAAGAAAAGCAAAGAAAATTAACCAGACAACCGACACCACCACACCTCGAGCGAAGAGAAAAAACTAAATCTGTCAAAATAGAACAAAACAAATTGAAAATTGAAGATAGAAAAAAAACATAGACTAAACCTAAACCAGATTTCTCATGTTATCTGTAGCAGGATTGCAAAGATAAAACGGAACGCTATGGAAGACTTAGTCGAAATTGTGAAATTATTGATGTAAACTTTGTCAGTGCCTATATTTTTTCTATTATTATACGTTTAAATTGTAATTCTATTGATTAACCTGTTTAGTTTTCTTTATATAACATTCAAATTACACTATTAAAATTACCACTGCAATACATTTCTGAAAAATGGAGTATTTTATTTCGTCATTGCTTGACATTGACGTTGACGTTCACATCATTTGATAAGCGTTTTCAGTTTTCAGTCGCACTTCATGTATATTTGTTTTGTTTTGAATTATTCCGATTATTATTTATTATATTAAACCGCAAAAATGGATTCTAATGAAATCCTCGATGATAAGGATAGCGGACCTGAGGTTCAGATGAATTTTCCCAGTTCAGTAATGAGTCGAATTGAGGAATTGATGGGAGAAACTGAACAATTCGACAGTGACGAAGTAAGTTACATATTTTATTGAAATTTAATTATTAATTTACATGATGATGGCGACCTACAATATTATTCAACCCGCAGTTTGACGCTGTAGCGTACATAAACCGAGTATTTCCGACTGAACAATCTTTATCTGGCGTGGAGACGGCGGCTGCGCGCTGTGAATTCCGTCTTGCATCTGTGCAGCATGACATCCAGCGGTTAGTTCGGGAGCAGGCTGCACAGCGGGACGTTGGCCAGCAAGCTCTGCTTGAAGCTCAGAGATGTATTGGCGAATTATCATTGCAGGTAACATGTTATATGTAATGGTAAAATAGCTTGAGAAAATACTGTTTGCGTTCTTGAGTTGTTTTGGACTGTTTGATTAACATTAATGGAATATTATGAAACTATGAAATAGAATATAAATATTGCAGGTGACAGAAATCAACAAAAAAGCAGAGCGCAGTGAGAGTATGGTACGTGAGATAACTGCAGAGATCAAGCAGCTGGATTGCGCTAAATGGAATCTGACGGCTGCCATTACTGCTCTCAATCATCTGCACATGTTGGCTGGAGGAGCGGCAACATTGCGTGGTTTGGCACAGAGACGTCAGTATAAGGAGTTGGTGTTGCCATTACAAGCTATTATGGAGGTAAAGGGAGTTTTGTTAACAAGAAGCATCTTAAAAAAAATTACTTTATGGTACTGTCAAAAAACAGCTTGTGGGCTTGAAACGAGTTATTATAACTACTATGTATTCATTAATAGTTTTTGCTGTGTTCATTATAATTGCAGGTGCTCCAACACTTTGAGTCTTATAAAGACATACGTGAGTTGAATGCCTTACGTGATGAGGTGCATACAATTCGTGCCCAGTTGGCTACACAAATACTTGCAGATTTTAAAGATGCCTTTACAGGTAAATCAAGAATTTATTATCAGCATCTATTGTACCCATTATAGAGTTGAAATAACAAAATTCCACTATTATCAGGTAGCAAGAGTGGCGTGTCCCAACGGACTCTAGCTGAGGCTTGTGGTGTGGTCGATGCACTGGACCCTAAGGTCAAAAAAGAGCTACTTAACTGGTTCATTTCTATGCAACTACAGGTAAGTTTACAGTCTGAACTTTATCTATACTATAATATCTGAAATGCTCACAGCATAGACTAATCATAGCTGATTTTTCTATAAATTGTGGCAATTAAATGGGTAAAAAAACAATTATAACCTTGGCCAGTCATAAATTGATAATACATACTTTTTTGAACTTTTAGTTATTATTAAAAATAATTCTCATTTTTTTGCGATTTGAAAGTGATGACGTCACTATACAGTTGATTTTGCGTATTTTAATTTGAACTACACTGTTATGATATTTCCCAGGAGTACCAGCACTTATTCTCACCGGAACAAGAGTGTGCTTGGCTGTCACATATAGAGCGTCGGTACGCATGGCTCAAGAAACACCTTCTCAGCTTTGAGGAGTCACTTGGAGCTGTCTTCCCACATCCCTGGCTGCTTAGTGAGAGAATTGCTAAACAATTCTGTAAGGTATGTCAAATGCTAGGTTAATAGAAGTTACAGTTAATAAAAACTTACCTTTATTATTTACTAGCTGTCGCCCGCGACTCCGTCGGCGTGAATATATAAAAAAACTTAATTAGTGTAGCCCACAAATCCATACATCCATCTAAACATTCGCATTTATAATATTAGTAAGTTAAATAGAAAGCATCTCAAGGCATAAATTCGAAAAAAAATGAATAAATAGTATCCTATGTCCGTCTCCTGGCTCTAAGCTACCTCCTCACCAATTTCCAGGCATATCGGTGAAGCCGTTCTTGAGTTATAAATAGTGTAACTAACACGACTTTTTTTTATAAATATAGATTTGAACTATTATTGTTAAACTCGGAGTTATTTATCATTAAAAGGTTTCTTTTTCCAGATAACGCGATCTGAACTGACAAATATAATGTCATCTCGACGTAACGAAGTGGACGTTAAGTTACTGCTTTATGCAATACAAAAAACTTACAACTTTGAAGTGTTGCTGCATAAAAGATTTGTTGGTAAGAATATTTTTTAAACACTGAAGATGAGAGCACTAGTGTATAAGTTTAAGGTCATTTTAATTATGGTCCTACTAGCACACTTTAACTTACTTTCGCATTTGTAATATTAGTAAGATATATATACTATATTGGTCTTGTTTCAGGAACTGATTTTACAGGTACAGAAAACATAGAACCTAGTTCAGATAAACAAGCTCCCTTCGAAGATGACAATAAAGAGGTAATTTATTTATAACAAATTAGCAATTGCCCGTGACTTCGTCCATAAATAAATATAGCATATGTTAACCGGGGATAGTGTAGGTTACCAACAGTGACAGTTTTTTTAATTGTTTCAGTACTTTCCGAGCTTATTCAATGCAAATAAACAATCAAATCTTTCTTGTTTATAATATTAGTATAGAAGTATAGATTACATTTATTTCTAGGGTCAAACAGAAGAAGTGCCGGCCAGTGGATCTCCATGGGTGGGATTGATCGGTGGCTGCTTCGAGCCTTACCTCTCGCTGTACATTACCAGCCTGGACACAAGTCTACGTTCCTTAATGGATACGTTTATACAGGTAACTAGCTTTTACACGCGACTCTGTACGCGCAAAATAAAAAAAACTTTAATGTCACATCCCATGGATACGGTATAAAGCATCCTATGTCCGTCTCCTATGTTTAAACTAACTCTCACCATTCAGCCAATTCGGTTCAGCCGTTTTTAAATTATGAATAGTGTAATTAACATGACTTATATATGTAAGATTTGCTTAAAATGATTAAAATAAATATATATTGATTAGTATTATAATAGTAATTGTCACATTTAAAGAATTTCTGCCAAAAGGTCACACATGTTTGACAAATTTGTTTATTCAAGCTATACTTCAAACATCTAAGGGATTATGTACAAATGCGTCGAAGTTGTCCCATTTGCGTCTATCAATGAGTATTGCCATATGCCAATATTCAAATACAAATTGTATTTATCACGTTAGGATGCAAAGTCATCGGACACTGGCAACACAAGCAATGTGAACACCAGTGGCGCTGTGATCGCGAGCTGCGCTGACCTGTTCCTATTCTATAAGAAGTGCTTAGTTCAGTGTGCTCGACTCACCACAGGAGAACCAATGCTAGGTATGTTTGGTGGTTTATCTTATTTCGATATTAGGTACTTATAGGTATTTGACGGTTAAAAAGAAAGGAAAAAGAGCCTTTTTATATTAGTAGATTTCTTTCCCCACGCAAAGGGGCTTACTAAGATCCTTCACTGACTGTATGGTCTTTGCGACTGTAACTGTCTTTGACTTTAGGTAATTTAGTTATATATATATGCACGTAATAGTTGTCTATGCTACGTAGATAATAGACAACAACGAAATATCTCACGCTCATAACTCAGAAGGGTAGGCAGAAACCCCATACCTGTTTTTAGCACGGTTTTGACACTTCTTTCACTTCTACATTAATACATCTACGCATACGTGCACGTCGGTTTTGTTTACTACTAGAACTGGCGGGCGTATTCCAAAAGTATCTACGCGAGTACGCGAGCAGCGTGCTGCAAGCGGCGCTGCCTCGCGCTGCGCCCGCGTTAACCCTGGGCTCGCTTGGGGCCGCCAACATGCCCAGCCTCGTCACCAACCTGCACACACTGCTCAGAGACGAGACGACCACCAGGTAACAATACTTTGATACGAAATTTTGACAAATTCATGCCAAAGACTCATAGCCATAGGAACTATGGTCCATATGACCATTTAATTAACACTGAGTATGTTATAGCAACCAAAACAATATAACTTTTTTTGTCTCAATGGGCAGAGCACTGCTCTCCAAATTAGGATGATGCGCTGGTTGATGGAATATAAAAAGCAAATGCCTAATTAAATAACAAAAAAAAATCTTATATTATTTCAGGTACACAAAACAAGAAATATCAAAGATAACCAGTGTCATCACCACATCGGAGTACTGTCTAGAAACAACAGTACATCTACAACAGAAACTCAAAGAGAAAGTAGCTCCATCTCTCTCAGACAAAATAGACCTCGTTCCGGAACAGGATTTGTTCCATAAAATGATAAGTAATTGTATACAACTGTTAGTACAAGATTTGGAGTTAGCGTGTGAACCGGCATTGCAGGCTATGACTAAAATATCATGGTTACATTTCGATAATGTCGGTGACCAAAGTTCCTATGTCACTCAAATAATCATGCATTTAAAAAATACGATACCAAATTTGAGAGATAATTTAGCATCGTCCAGGAAATATTTCACACAATTCTGTATTAGATTTGCAAATTCATTTATACCTAAATTCATACAAAATGTGTATAAATGTAAACCTATTTCCACAGTTGGTTCGGAACAGTTATTACTTGATACACATATGTTGAAGACTGCATTACTAGAGCTACCTTCAATAGGTTCTGATGTCAAAAGACAAGCTCCAGCGACTTATACAAAAGTGGTTATCAAACTAATGACTAAAGCGGAGATGATTTTGAAACTAGTCATGGCACCTTTAGATGGAAATCTCGAAGGTTTTGTTGCTCAGTTCGTTCAACTTCTCCCTGAAAGTACCATAGCTGAATTCCATAAAGTTTTGGATATGAAAGGTGCTAAGTTATCTAAAACGCAAATGAGTTCATTAGACGCTAAATTTAAAGATCTCACTAAATCTGTTAATAATGAAGGTAATAAATAGAGTTATAATTCTAATTCAAATTAAAAACATTGCTTTTAGCTATATGTTTGAATGAATTTAAGGCTTATTTTATTTAAATCAAATGAACTGGACTTAATTGTTGTAAACATTCCATTTTACCAAATTGTTTTTTTTCTTTTTATATTTATTACTAAAATATGTCTTGTATTAGTAGATTGTCTTCAAAAGCTAACTATTTTCATTATGTGTATTGTTACGAGAGTATTTATTATTATATGTTTATTTTAATTTGTATAAAACAAAGTGAAAGATTATTTAAGTTACATATTACATGATATACTTTTATCTCATCACATTAAATAAATATATTATAAGAAATTTTGTTTCAATTTAATGTCATCAATGATAATTTAATAAGTGTAATGAAAAAAAAAACAGTGTTGCCAAATTACGTAAATATTTTGAATGAGAATAAAAGATTGGAAATGACGACAGGAATGCAAAGAAATGTGAATATACAAGACTAGATATAATTAAAAGAAATCTTAATGATGATCAGTTGTATATGAACAATACTTTATTAAATCATGCTCCCAGTTCCCTACAGTCCTAAAATCTCTCAATTTAAATCGCCAGTCTTGGTTTATATCCAGTATAGTGTTGCCGCGTGTTAGTATTTTTCCTGTCTCTAAAAAATAAATTACAATCACGTTTCGTTGTTAAAAACATTTTTTGTTGTTAGAGATTATGGATACTGCTTATTCCGTAAAATTGCTTTTTTATCCAACTTAAGGAGGTGTAAAAGAATTAAAAATCTTTCATGTTGTCCATTACCCATTGACTTTGTAATAAAAATCCAAAAGAAAGATAAGGCTGAATGAATTGTTTATGTTTGACTTTCCTGTTTAAAAACTGGAACTGTAAACAACGAAATGTCAAAGTCAACTGTTCGCCGCTCCGGACGTGTAGTTTGTAAATTAATTTAAAAAAATTATAAAATGCATTTTCCTCTCCGGAAATGTTATCACGTTATTAAAGTAGGGATCTTTTTAGTGATTATTGTAACAATTCTTACGTTATTCGAACAATGGCGGGGTGGTAAGAGATCGGCTCGCGCCCAGGATGTAGACGCACTTGAAGATGAATATGAAAAACAAGTTCTTGAAGACGAGGCAAGAATTATTCCTGGACTAGGAGAAGGTGGAGTAGCAGCGCGTCTAGTTGGAGAAGCTAAGCGTCTAGGAGAAGAGTCCGAGAAAGCACTAGCTATTAACGTATATTTAAGTGACCGGATCGCGTATAACAGAACTTTAAAAGGTAAGTTGTTATAGCGGTAACTTCTATAAGTAAGTCCAGTTAGAATAGTAATCACTCAGACGGAAAACTCTATTATAGTATATGTTTAAATTCTTGTATGTGAGATTTTTCAAGTATTAATTTTTTTTATAAGATTAAAGTTCAACTTCAGCCACAAGCTGACAAGAATGTCAGCTTGTGGCTACAACTATACATTTACGACATTTTAGTACATAATTTAATAATTGTTATAGTTTAAAAATACTAATATTTTGTCAAATATAAGCATTTAAATTGCATAGCATATAATATTGATTGTGTTTATGTATCTTTGAAATACAATAAATATTTTATTAGGTAGTACCATGAAATTAATTTTCTCTGCAATTATGAACCTAGCGCTTATCACAAATTACATACTACTGTGAAAGCTTATAGTATTTTTTAATAGAATCATTTTATTTTCCTACTTATGTATGCCATGTATAATATTTTTAAGATGTAAATATTATGTCCATTATTTCTATCAGTTAGATAAAGATGCAAACTTTAATATTCATTTTAGGTACTAATTACATTCATCCTGATTGGTACTTGAACACAATACATTGCTTCTCTTGTTAAATAATATGTTTTCTGTGTTTCTAAAATGTATTAAGATGCAGCTTTGAAAGCTTAGGCTGCATTCACACTAATCATAGCACATCTGTGGTTGGGTACTTTAATTACATTTTGTGTATGTATGAGATAATTTATATAATACTGTTTGGAAGAAAATCCGACACTGTGTGATGTACTGGCACAACACTAGCCTTACTAAAATGTCCCCCCACTAATCATGACATGACATTTGACGCACCATCCGCACCAAAGGATTCTAATTAAAAATGTCTAAAAATATATAGTAAATACACATAATATATAATGTATCTGACAATATGAAGGATTCCCATCTATATTTTCTTCTAAATACTTTGTTGCCAATTTTTTTTTTATAAATATGTTATAGACTACCGTAATCCGGCATGTCGTCGTATGCTCTACGATGCAGAGCTTCCATCTGCTTCGGTGATCATCATCTTTCACAATGAACCATATTCAGTTGTGGTGCGAACAATATGGAGTGTGGTGAACAGTGTTAGAAGATCACAACCATGGTATACAAGGGCTAATTACGTGGAAAGAGCTACCGGAAGGACTATGACCTTAGGTTAGTATTTTTTTACTTATAATCAATCTTCTTGCAATTTTAGGATGCAAATGTTATAACATTAGCTTCTTTTTAAACTCTATAACAGTGTAATTTTCTATTTTTAAACTTTGCAAAAGGTAAACACACCGTATACTTAGAAAACAACTCTTAGCACTCGTAAGATTCCATAACTTTCACTAAATGCATTCAAAGAAAAAGAAAAATTAAAGTTTTAAATTATTCATTTGTTCCTAGCCTTATTAATTTCTACTTTTCGATAACAGGTTATGCAGGACAAGATCCGAGTTCACCATTTGTATACTTGAAGGAAATAATACTCGTGGATGACAATTCTACGTTACCAGAGTTAAAGGGCAAGCTGAGCCATTACATACGTACTCGATTACCACCAGATTTGATACGTATATTAAGACTACCTGATCGGTATGTACTTTTTACTTTTAGAATAATAGTTAAGATAAAAAAAATCCAATGGAAATTATCAATTTTTCCATTTTTCAATAGCAATGTTCAACATTATCGCGTTGTTGTGTGAATTAAACAACATACTTATAAATCGAGATAACGAACGCAAATTCTATGCTGCCAGTGCATGTTTTATGAAATAGGTTAATGAAAAGTTTCTAATACATTGATTTCTATAAATGGACTGGCTATTACACCTTGTATTTTGTGCCTATTTGATTATTGCCATTTTGGCGCTGATGGTACCGGCTTGTAGCGGTGGTGTTGATTCGAACTAAAAATATAAATAGAATTAACTGGCACGTTACATCAATAGGAGCCATTAAATCGGGACGTACGAAAAACTGTTAATCCAAGCAATCGCCTATCCATCTATAAAGATCTTTGTTTTAATATAACTACGCAAAATATGCGATTTTGATGTACCTGGAACCAGTGATTAAAAAAATTATAAAAGAATGAAATAGAAAAAATCTTCCCTTAGAGGCCTTAGGGTAATCATGTCAAGGCTAGGGAAAGTTAGAAGTGCTGTTTTAAGCTCCTTAGGTTGGATTTAACATTTAGAAATTAAACTTAGTGAAAATTATTACTTTATTTCGCCAAACTTAGTGTGGGTTTGATCCAAGCGAGACAAGCCGGAAGTCAAGAGGCGAAAGCCGATGTCCTGGTCTTTTTAGACTCACATTGCGAAGCTAACGAAGATTGGCTTAGACCGTTGCTACAGCGTATAAAAAATAATAGAACGGCCGTGGTTACACCCATAATTGACATGCTGGAATCAGATACTCTGGAATACCAACCCGGCAATGCGGATTTTGAGGTGACTAGATTTGAACGTCAAAGACGTTGTAGTGTAGGAAAGTAAGTAGACTAACTTAAAAAAAGATTAACAGTGATTACTTACGATTTTGTTGGATGAAATCTACAAAACATACTCGTAATGGATTTCACTATCTGGGTATTTAATTTTTTTCTTTTATAATTAGTACAGTTTAATCAGCTGTCTCATTTCATAAAGTTTTTAATATTGACATACTAATTATTATCATATTCGAGTACAATGATACATTTGTGTTCATATAACGTTTGGGTTAACAAAAATATATTTTATTTAGTCCACAAAATAATAATTTTAAATGTCGCCTTGGATACAAGCCATGTTTTATGTCTGCATTGACATTAAATACTTTTTGTATTTATGTTAGACATCGAAAAATTACAAAAGACAAAAAAAAAACCATCGCTCTTTTGAAAAAAAAGTTTTTTTTTGTGCAAAAACAAAAAATCTAATAGTAAAATGTCTTTTTACTACCAACTTATTTATCAACGTATATTCAATGAGATAGTCATTTGAAGTTCAGACCTCAAAATAGTGTTGCAACGGAACTTTCTTGTATAGCGTGGGTCTAACTCGAGCGCGGCTGGCGGGCGCGAGGTTCGCTAAAGGCGATGTGCTGGTATTCCTGGACGCGCATTGCGAGGGTCAGGCGGACTGGCTGCGGCCGCTGCTGCAGCGTGTCAAGGAGTCCCCGACCAGTGTGGTTGTACCCATCATTGATGTCATCGAGTCGGGAAACTTCTACTATAGTGTGCAAGATCCAGAGGCGTTTCAGGTGCGGGCTCGGTATACGACATGTGACAGCTATTTTCTTTGGATTGCACCAAATGTTGGATAAAATAATGAAATAAAGAGTAAAAAAAAATTAATTGTCAGTTTTTTGACAAAGCTGAATCTCAGTGCCTTGGGCAAATATCTTGCAGATCTTTCTGTGTCAAGTACTGAATATGTCTAGATTTTAAAATAGTTTAAGATTCCGACGCCGTATAATCGTTAGTACAGCAATGCCTTAATGTAGATTTTCTCGTACTAACCGCTGGTTTGTAACACCAAAATCACTGTATAAAATATATCGTGATGTGTCATTGTCCCTGACAAAATAGAAGCAACATTATGTTTCAAATGGGGATTTTGGTATGGGAAACCCACGGTTAATACCATTAAGGTATTCTGTGATCATAACATCGGTGATCAAAGAAATAGTTGTTACGATAGTGGTAAAGTCGTGTGTTCACGTGTTAACCTATCACCAGCTCCACGCCACGCTTGCACATGTCACGTTTTGCACATTTTTTTGTTACTATTTGTTTCTTACGTTCAATTGTTTTCAGTTCGCCTTCCGTTCGTTTTATGACGTTGTTTTTTTGGGCCTGGATGTTTTTGCTTTCTATATGTTTGTGTATTTTCTTGTGTGCATTTTTTTTGTAAATAACTATTTTAATGGATAAGAGAAAATGTGTTGGGTACGTAATTATTATAAAAAAAATTAAAAACAACACGCCTAGTAGGTTATTAGACTGACTAACGAAATTGTTGACCAGAACAGGTGTTTTAAATAATAAACAAAGTCCAAAAGATGTATTAATATAATCAACAGATTAGATATCTGAATGTGTAGATATCCGCAGGCAGGGTCTGATGCGCGCGCGCATGACAGGCGCTCGGTCGGCGCGGGGGGACGTGCTTGTATTCCTCGACGCCCACTGCGAGGCTGGATCAGATTGGCTGCGTCCTCTACTTCAAAGGATCCGACACAAGAGGGACGCGGTACTGACGCCACTGATAGATGTCCTCGACCAGACCACGTTTCAGCTGGATGCAGCTGAACATTTCCAGGTCTAGCAATGTGCGCCTGTGCTTCTGTCATGTCTGATTCAGCTCAAACCTTTAGACTTCGATGAACTATAGTCGTAATAGAATGAAGTTCGCATGATACTAACTTTGAAAGCTTATTAACTTGATGTTTATAAAATTTAAAGTTGACGCAATTGGTCGCTCCAGTTCAAAAGCAACGTTGTATTGAAGAAAAATAATTGCTTTTAGATTGTAATTGTTTCAGGTGAGAAATGATTGTTACGATATAACCTAATTCTCACAAATAACATGACATTTGTGAATTCGATATTCCTTTGATCAACTATATTCTTACTTGTTGTGTTATGTGTAATAATTTAATGGAATATTTCACAGATTAAAAAAAGAAATTAAGAAAAGAAAAAATAAAGAAATAAAGCAAACAATAGAAAACAAATATACCATTTTTTGTTTTAGGTTATGTAACCGGCTTTATAATTTTAGGTCAACAAATAACTTTATAAAATTCGTTCTACAGTTATACCTATTAATATAATTTCTTGCACTTGTTTAAACAAGAAATGAATTGGTTCTTAACTCGTCTATGCATTTTTGTAGCCTACTAATCTATGTAGAGTATTTTTAAGTAGTAACTATTTCATTTTGTAGATTGGCTTATTAATTATTTAGCTTATTTCTAACACACTTACATTTTACACTTGTACATATGTTGCCTATTAGATTTTTGCTATTTCACTTTTATGTAATTTACAATGTATCTTTGCTTTATTTGGCTTTATATTTTTAAAGTTTTTGGCAGATTATACATCCCTAACTCACCGCTAACTTAGATAAATTGGGAGCTTATTTAAGTTAGAAGTTATCTTTTATTAAGATTTTAATTTTATGATATCAAAATATTAGTTAGTTTAATTTCATTGCACTTTTATCAAGATTTCTTACACCTAGAACTCTGCTATACTCTGAAATCTTAATTGGTGGATGAGACAATCTCTTGGCGTATATTTACTATGATAGACGACTTTGCAGTATTTACTTCAAAAAATCAAAAATCTTTCTTCAAGATTGAAGATAATAAGTTTATGTATGTATGTTATTAAGATGTACTTAAGTTATGTTATTGTTTAGGTTGGGGGATTCACTTTTATGGGACACTTCACTTGGATAGATGTGCCTGAAAGAGAGAAGAAACGACGCGGCTCCGACATTGACCCAACATGGTAAGTTTATATTTTATAAGGCATTGAGATAGTCGAATAGTGGTCTAGTTGTTGGCCGGCTAATTGATCTAGTTGGCAGTATAGTTGGTCCAGTTATTGGTCAAGTAGATGGTCAATACGTGATGGAAGAGTTGCAAAGTTGAGGTGTTGAATTGATAATTTCAACTGCTTTACTCGGTCTTTGAGTGTTCACTAAGGGTGTTCTTTAATGCAAGTTAAAGTTCGACTTTAATATGAAACCTTAACTTCAATAGGTCACCGACAATGGCGGGTGGTTTGTTCGCAATGAACCGCGCTTACTATTGGGAGTTGGGGGCATACGACGAGCAGATGGCGGGCTGGGGTGGAGAGAACCTTGAGATGTCCTTCAGGATATGGCAATGTATGTTTTATTCTTGATCGTTATGATGAATCTGTAGAAGTTCCTAGTCGTGGATTAGACTGATGCGACTCCGCGGAATTAGTCTCTTATTACCTAAGAATAATAAACAATTTTAGTCGAAACGAAAAGCATCGTAGTTTATTATTTAAAACATATAAAGTCTTACGAACGAAGTATTCTGAACTGGACGTAGTATAAGTTTTCACGTGAAGTGAGTGATGTTTTAATAAAAAGAAAGAGTTTTTGCGCTTAATAAATTGATTTTTACTAATGTACTGATTATGTTAGGCGGTGGTACACTGGAGACGATACCGTGTTCCCGTGTCGGCCACGTGTTCCGCAGCTTCCATCCTTACGGTCTGCCCGCTATGTCGGACACGCATGGTTTGTACAGAAAACCAAAGATATTATAATAGTAGAAAAACGACATAATTATTAGCTTAAAGGTTTTTCCAGATAATGTTCTACATCTATGTCAAATTTCAGCGAGATCCATACAGCCATTCTCAATATACCTTCAAACAAACATCCATCCATCCAACCATTCGCATTTATAATATTAGTAAGATTTACGTCTATATGATGAAATAGTGATAGGAGTATCCTATTGTTAATTTTAAAATCTTTAGTACTATTTTTATTTATTTTAAGTAAAGTAGAAAACTTGATTAAATTTCCATCAATAAAGTAGTCGGGTGAGTGACTTTTGTGAACTGTGAACTGTTGCTTTTGAATATGTTTTTTTTTTCTTGGTTTAAATTTCTCTATGTAAAAATCTCAGGTATCAACACAGCGCGCATGGCGGAGGTATGGATGGATGATTATGCAGAGCTTTTCTACTTACATCGACCTGATCTACGTGTGAGTATAATATTTGAAAAAAAGTTTTTTATTTATTGTTGAAAATTGAAATTTATATTAAAGGTAGACAACGCATATGCAATTGTGTATGTCTGTGGGCAACGGTCACTTCGCTCGTTTGACTTACGATATATAAAAAAATAACAGTAAAAAAATTACCAAAAAAGTGACGTGTTTAATAATGGCATGATTAACAGAAAAACCCAAAGATCGGTGACGTGACACACCGGCGCATCTTGCGAGAGAAGCTGCACTGCAAGAGTTTCCAGTGGTACCTCGACCATGTCTACAAGGAGAAGTTTGTGCCCGTACGTGATGTCTACGGCTTTGGAAGGTTAGTGCACTTCGATTAATAGAAATTACTGCAAATATCTCAAGAAATTTAAAGTTCCAGAATTATTCAAGTTATTGATTATTTAGTATGTTGAAATGAATTTTTATTAAAACAATGTGGAAGCTTGTAATCAACTGACATTTAATTACTATTGCACAGATAACCTCAGTACATAATGTTTTTCTATCATTCTACCATTGATATTACAATAGTATAGGTGGCGCTAGTTACTACGTATTATTTTGTTAAATTGAACTAGAGTATATAAATTACAATTTTCCTAAGGCGTGGTGTATTTGGTATAAGTCATTTCAAATATCTTGTCGGCTCTTAACTTCGCGCGAGTGCAGATGACCTTAGGCCGCCAAGATATTGGAAAAGATCATTATTAATGGCAGAAAAAGTTCTTTAATTTAAATAATTCATTCAATAAACTGTTGAATGAATGACATATGGGTCGTTGTTCTGACAAATCATACCATAACCTGCTATTTCCTAGGTTTATGAACGCGTGGAGCAACCTATGTCTAGACACGCTACAGCGGGATGGGGAGGGGACACCACTTGGCGTGTATCCCTGCCACGACACGCTGCAGGCCACGCAGTACCTCTCCCTGTCTCTCAAGGGAGAGTTGCGTGATGAGGAGAAATGTGCTGAATTGCAGTACACCAGGTATCAGAAGTTTATTTTAGGAAATATATTGTTAAAGAACGGAAAATTTGCATCTGGGTCTACGATGATAGATGCTAATCATAATAAAATCTAAAGGGTTGTTATAAAATTCTAAAGGAAAAGATTAATATTACGTATCTATAAAAAGTTAGGGACAAGGGATACTAGAAAATCTAAATTTTCGTTAAATACTTTGCTACCCGAAAGGGTTCCAGTAGTCAAAAAAGTTTCAGAATCGCTGTCGTAGTGTATTTGATTTCTTTTTATTTTTTAATGACGAAATATTTATTTGATACACAGACATATACCTGAAGATAATATAGACGGAGAAGGTCGCAGAGTTCTGATGGTGACATGTCATGACAAGGATCGAGGACAGGTAAATTTATTGTCAAGCATTTAGTCAACAACTATTTGATATTTTTACGTATATTCCTGTGTTTTTATAAATTACGTCTATTTCATTTTTGAAGTCATTCGATTTGTAACAGAAATGAAAAATTATAACGATTTCTCTAAAACAATTCTTCTTCCTAAACAATTTTACCATTTATAAGGCTGTAAAGTACAGACTTATTACAGACTAGCCGCCCGCCCACTTCTTTTCAAATATCTTAACGGCTCAAGGTCATCACCGCGCTGCGCAATGCCCTCTCCTTGTATCCCCTACTCTGAAGTTAGAGCCGCCAAGATATCTGAATACTATTATACAAAGTTTGTATCCGTGTGTCAGAAATGGCAGTACTTGGACAGCAAGCAGCTGCAGCACGTGGAGTCTCAGCTGTGCCTGCAGACAGGCGAGCGGCCCGGCGCTGACGTCACCGCGCGCCGCTGCAGGGACAACCTGCCCGCGCAGCAATGGCTGATAGACTACAGCGAGGATAATGACTTCAGAGCCTCCAGTACGTACAAATGGACTAAATAACTCATTTTTAGTGTCTTAGACACTAAGACACATAAGACATCTTTTGTGTCTTAGCTAAGACACAAAATATGTCTTATTTAGATTTTTCTTACGTGTCTCGTTCTAGTTACGTCTTACATTTTGTTCTTCACCTCTTGACCTTGAACTACTGGTATTATTAAATGGACAGGCTATAAGACGTATTATTTTGTGCATATTTGATTTTTGCAATTTTCCTGTCGATAGTAACGCTTCATAGCGGTGTCGTGGATTCGAACTAATAATATAGATAGAAAGAAACCGTCACGTAACATTAACAGGCGCGTTTAAATCAAAGCAAAAGCCTTTTAAAAAATGTGTTCCTTTTTATGTTTTTTGTTATAAATTATTTGAACGTGCCAATTTATTTATGGAGATCTAGTACTTCCAGAATTAACGTGATAATATTTTGCAGACGATATTGAGCCCAGTGAACAAGAAGTGAATCTAATGCGGCTGAGAGGACAACGGTAAGAAATATATCTTCTTACTAATAGAGTAGATGGATGAATGGATGGATGGATATTTGTTAGAAGGTATCTTTAGAACGGCTAATAATTAGCATAGATGTAGAACATAGTGTGGAAGAACACATAGGCTATTAATTAACTTTTTAAATTACGCGCGGGCAACAGTTAGTAAGGAGTATTTAGAAAGAGTTAAATTCAATATTTACAATACATCAAAAAAAAGAAAAAATTATTTGTTTTCCGATTAAAAATTTAGTAATTTACTAACTAATTGTTAAAGTGTTAATTTAAATATTCCAATTATAATTTCCAGAAGAAAATCACGTTCTCTTCTCTCCGTCGAAACAGAGAACGAAGCTAAAGAAGCGCGCAGATCTCACAAATCTAAACGTAAAGGGAAGAAATCAAAAAAGAAGAATAAGAAGAAAGTAATCAAGAATAAATTCATTCTAACACTCGTCCGTACGATGAAGAATAATACAGAGGAACATCTAGAAACGGAGATACATTGCAAGCATACACGACTTTATCCTAACAACACGTTTGTTAGAGATCTTGTTACTATACTTAATGATAATAATATCAAGGTGATAAACAACGGTCGTGTATTCGAACGCAACAAGGTGACAGAACTAAGCAAAGACAAGAAAGTGGAGAAAGTGCTCAAGAAGATGGACGTGCGGATGCCGCCGGAGGAGCAGGACACAACCAGCGTCACACCAGCGCTGCCTCAGCCACATAATTCTATTGGACAGATACCGGTAATGGAGGTAACAACTTACTAGTGATACGGATAGTATAACTTGCATTTTGAAAACCATAGTCAAATAAGGATATCTAATTCACTACAGGGCTTATCGCGGTTGGTTCTGTCAGAATATATATAAAACCTACTTAGAAATAGAAAATTACATAAAGAAATTATGACATCTATGACATTTTTTGACATTGACAGAGGGGCGCTAGTGAGTTAACTTCATTTAGTTCGACTTATGTCCACCGATTCATATAGTCTTTTTCTATTTATAATATTTTAAAAATCGTCAGGTACCAAAGCAACCATGGCGCAACGGGAAGAAGCTGAAGCCGGGCAGGCTGGTGGAGGAGGCGAGTGGTTCCGGGGCTGGGGCCGGGGGCGGGGGCATGGACGAGGACGAGGTAAATGTCGCCCCGGCGGGCAGGCCGCCGTCCACACAGAACAAGATCATTGTCGAGGAGTTCGTCGAGGTGAAGCAGCTGCCCAACGACGCGCCGCAGGTCAGTCTGTGGCCGGCGACAATAAACTACTAAGTATAACTCTATTCAAATATCTTGGCGGTTGACCTTGACCTGCGCAGTTTGTACACCGCCAACATCTAACATTGTATTATGCGGAACCACGTATAATGTTCCGAGCCACCGAGATATTTGAATACCTCAGTAATTCTATTAGTAAGAAGCTACTATAGAAATAACTCTAAGAATGTTTGTACAAGAATTCGTCCGAATTAATTAACGGAGCAATATTTTTAATAATTTTAAATAATTTATCGTGAATAGAATGTATTTTTAATGATTTTATGATAAATTTGCTACAGGCAACAAAGAAAAGGAAACATAGACGCAAGCACACCACTATGATCCCGATGTACCAACCTGATGACATTGAAGATACGCCTTTGATGGATACAAAGCTAAGGTAAATATACAATATTTATTAAATTAAATGAATAAATTTATAATTAACTAACTGTCGCTCGCGATTCTGTCCGCGCGAAGTTTAAAAAAAAACTAATTAGTAGTCTATGTGTTCTTCCAGACTATGTTCTACATTTATGTCAAAGAATCCGTTTAGCTGTTCTGCGAGATACCTAATAATAAACATCCATCCATCCATCCATCTATACATTTAAACTTTAGCATTTATAATATTTGTATCAACTTCATATTCTTCAACATTTTTTTTGTATATAAATTAAATTGAATGTAATTAATTTTAGAGCTGGTCTGCCGACTTGGAGCGATGACTACGACAACTACAAGAGAGAGACGTCGGAAGAAAAGGTCGGCAACATGATGATTAGTGTTGAGAACTCACACTACCCACCGCAGAGTAAGTATATACTGTCTATATACAAGTCTAATCTATACATAATAAAAAAAAACATGTTAATATGGCTTTTCGAAAAAAAAAATAGTACACTGTTTGCGTTGCTACTAATGAAAAACTAATTTAGATTTTTTTTTTCTGCGCCGATTTTGATTATTATTGTTAATTCTAGTTGTAATATTGCTTATATTCTCACCTTAAAACAACTATGTGAAAGTTGTATAGATAACTTTGGTAAGATATGAAGAGATGTGAGTGCTTATTGAGATGTTATTATCAGATGTGAAGAGTCACTTCGGCAACGTGCTGGTGGAGCGGCTGCAACACGCGCGGCCCCACGTGCGCACGCAGAACGGACCTTACATCGTAAGTTCATTTACGTACTAACATGTAAACACACATATGCCAGCGATTTTATCTATGTTAACATGTTAATGGAAACTTTAACATAAAAAAATGGTAAGAAAAAACAAAAACAATAAGGAATTGTGCTTATAAATAAAAAAAAAAATCTCAAATTTAAAGTACGAGTGTATTAAAATTGTCTAATATTATTTTTTAAGTAAGTTGGTAATGAAATAAAATTCCTTAGGATTTTCTAAGCTTATAATATTAATTTGCATATTATTTTATTTGAAAACAATTAAATTATCCGTATATTTTGATATCGAGTGGTTTTGCAAAGGAACCGGGGACGAGTGAGGCGCCGGGCGAGGGGGGCGAGGGCGAGGGCGGCGCGGCCCCGCAGGCCCCGCGGCCGCGCGCCCAGCAGCCAGTCAAGCTGGTGATGAAGAGCAACCTCACCTTCAACCTTGGCGATGAGTTCTTCAACTGGCGACGGAACGCTGATGACGTCGCGTAAGTTTGTTACAAAAAAATACGCACATGTATATGAGTACGCAATACGTACCCAACAAAAACTACAAGTTGTCCGGTTAATATAGGTTTTAATAAGTACTAGGGGTCGCCCGCGACTCCGTCCGAATTATAATAAAAACATAATTATTATAGTAGCCTATGTTCTTCCAGACTATGTTCTATATGTATGCCAAATTTCATTGGGATCCGTAAAACCGTTCTGGACATCATCCATCCATTAAAACATTCGCATTTATAATAGTAGTATTAAGTATGATTATTTTAGTTTAGGTTACTTTGTTCACCAGGTTACCTATTTGTTTTTCGTTATAATTTAATTTACAGACCACAGATTAAATAAATAAATGTTTATGCTAACAATAAACCTAATTCTTTAATTCTAGACAATTCCTGGGCGAGCTTGGTATACCATTAAACACAAACGCGACACGATCCATCGTCAACTGGACGAAGCCGCTAAAGATCGAGGTGAAGGAGCCGCCCCCCGTGCGCAATGCCACCGCCTCCAGCGCCACGGGCGAGGACTACTCCTCGGGGTCATCAGACAGCGCCAGTAAGGAGACATAGACAACAGTCGCCATCTTGTGGCAATTATTATCTTGTGTCATTCACCATCTTGTGGTAATTGTCAACTTGCGTCAATCGCCATCTTGTGGCAATTGTATTCTTGTGTCAGCCGCCATCTTATGGCAATTGTCAACTTGTCAAACGCTATCATAGACACGTCCGCGTACACTCACTGTCAAACTTCGACTGACATCAAAAGAAAGCAATTTGTCGATTATTGCCTTCTTTTGATGGCTATAATTTTCAAGCGCCGATCGTGTATCTAAAAAAATCAATGTTTTTACATATATTAATAATTAAACATATCTTAAAAGACAATGTAACCACAGAATCTAATTTTTAAGACTGAGTATTATATAAAATGCCGTCCATTTATATATTTATATAGTATATAATAGAATTTAGTGCATACAAGGTATATTCAGGGCTAGAAAACGTCGTTATAAATATATAGCTTTTTTGCTCATACCAGTGTTTATTGGTAATTGTTTGGTAAAACATTTTGACAGAAGTTTGTCAAATGTGTTTAAAACTCAGTATTGGACAATCATGGACGACCAACATCGCAAGATTTGAGATTTTTGCTTTTAATATAGTCGGAATGTATATTTTTACATAATTTGTAAATTACTTAAAAATGTAATTATTATTCTATTGACAATTCGCTATAAAAAGTAGATATTAGATAGTTGTTTATGCATAATAGGTTAAAAGTGTTTTATGTTTTGTTGGCATAATATAAGAAGTTCAATATTGTGTTTTTGTGTAAATATTTATCAAAACTTATTATTTTAAAATTAAGTGAAGTCTTGTTGTATATTACTAGATGGCGTTACAATATTTTGTAAATTTGAAAACATCAAAATAACTCACACCCCTAACCCAATGGGGCAGACAGAAAGAGATATTTAAAAATTATAACATAACTATCTGTCGCCCGCGACTCCGTCCGCCTGGAATAAAAAACACTTTTATAAGTTTTTCGATCCGAGAATTAAAGATTATAAAACCTTTTAAATTATGTTTACTTTATAAAAAAAATAATTATATATTAATATTAGATTATTTTTTTATCTTTCAATTTCGATATGAAATGTTATTTTGTTAGTGGCGCCATCTATTAATCTCCATGGACTTTAACGACTATGGTTTTTCTCAGTCGTGTCATTTTGGTGCTCAATGTCGTTAACCTAAGTGTACTTATATAGGCATAATATTTTATTGTTAAGATATATAGCTGTAGATTATATACTTTGGGTTTTGACAGCCGATACTTGTATTTATACATGTTTCTTAAAGGCAATATGTCACGAGTGTTATTGTAATTTCAAAATATAGTCGAACCGAGTTAAACGAGAGTCCAAGAGATCGTGATATTTTTCACTCTTATAGTAGTTTCTATAGGACGATCCCAGACAGTCCACAGACGGACCAGGTAGAACAAAGCTGAGTTTTTATTGCAAATGAAATTGAGCTTTACACAATATTAACAACGTTTAATTTACCTTGCACGCTTTTTGTAGACTTGAAAAGTAAAATTAAATCGAGTAAGGTTCAATTTTATACTATTCTACTCTGCTCTCCGGTCTATGTGAAGTTAACCTGAGTTTCTCGCTTATGGAAGTGATCCGTCAGGATAACTCTTATATAGGTTTCTCGCTTATTCAACTTCGACCGTAATTATTTTACGTATTGAAGTCGACTTGTCTAATAATATTGAATTATGTATGGATATTAAAATATGTATTTATGATGTTTCTTGTATGTTTCGGCAGTGGAAACTTGCTTATATTTGTTACATTATAAAATGAAAAGATTGTATATGGACATTTTAATATGTTTTTTTATTTTATCGCTTTGAAATGATAGTGAACTTCAAATGATTTTTTTTTATTTTAATTATACTCAAAATGAATCTGCTGAAATGAAAGAGAATATATTTGAATAATCGGTTTAATTATTTACAATAAATTTTACTTGTATTACATAATATGTAGAGATCTCACTTGGTTTTCACAAATGTTTCATACATTTTACGAGAAAATCACAGAAAATTCAGACTTATTTCTTAGAAAATGCTGAAATAGTATAATCGGTATCACAAAGTTCGTTTGGATTTTCTTCGACATTTATTTTTCTAACAAAATATAACTCTAAATTATGTTTTTATATTAAAAAAATTGAGTAAGCAATTTACTCACAATTTTTTTTCTCAAAACATAATTTCTAAGAAAAGAGTTTTATATATAATTTTGTAACAAAAAAAATTAATGCCTTAAAAATAACATGGCAACGTAAGTAACTCAATTTCTATGTGCCTAGAAACTAGGAACTTTTAACAATTTGTTAATATAAATCACGAGTAATCATATAAGTTGAGTAACATTCATCTAGAAAGGTAATCAATACATGCAGTTTACCCGATACATTTTGATACTTAACGTTTGAAACAAAAAATGTACTTCTTGGTACTTAAAAATTTGGCATTACAAAACAAAATATATGAAATTAGTAATTATAAGGAACGTGCATTTAAACTTTAAACAGTAATTTGAAAATTACCAGTATTTTTTACTATAAATATCAAGAGATCTCTTTAGAAATCTTGTGGGTTTTGATTGCTGTGAATTGAACTAACAAATATTTTTGTCTCTGTCTTTTTTAAGATAATGTAAGGGATGGCAATATATGCCAATATCAGCAGTCAAAACCCACATGAATGTGAATAAATTCAACGAGACTCTTGCTTTTATCAGGTACAAAATAGCAAATAGGAAACAGTTTCGCAAACAGAAAAATTATTTTTTTCTCTTATTAAAATTTACACGGCCTACCTCTACCAACTCCGATAGGTCTTTGTAAATTAATTTGAAAATCACTTTTTTGTAATCTACCACGACCTCGTCCTGAATCTTGTATTTCACTTTTATATGAACCAGCAAGAAATATATCATCGAAAGTTTTTATAAATGTTTTCTCTCTGGTTAATTCATCAGCACGATGACAGGATGTATCGTAATCGTGTGTCGGTTGCTCATCATAACTGCTTGCCTCGGTGACAGCTCTCGGAGAGAAGATTACACCATCCCCTCCGTATAATGTTGGGTTGGTTAATGATAGACACGAACGAATACGCTGAAAGAGATACATTTATAACTTGTACTAAACTTTTTATAATATTTGTCTATGGATGAAGGTAGTGTGAAAAATTTAATTCTTGTCTATGTGTTTCATTAAGGCAAATAATCTCTACAGTAGATCTTCCATGTAAATTTTAGATTACATTAAGAAACAAATGACTTATTAAAGCAATAATCGAAATATATTGAGCTTGAATTTATGCTCTTGTTACATATGAAAAAATCAAAATATTTAGGACATCAGAAAATAAGCACTGACTTTTCGCTGGTTCTCCTCGTTGAGCAGACTGCGCAGCAAGTTGGTGTGAGCCTGCACCGCCGCGCGCAGCTGAGCCGAAGACAGGCACGCCAGCGAGTTGGCGCTCACGTCCGCCTCATTTAACGCTATACAAACATATGTGTACCAAATCTTATAAGATACTAAAAACAAAATGTATTAAAGACTTTTTGAATCGATATTTCTCGTATCGATTCACATTTATTAATCTTGGAAAAGATTGTGACCTGTCAGTGCTGTCAAATTTTGACAGATTTGACAGCTGTCAAATTTTGACAGATTTGACAGCTGTCAAAATCTGGACAGGCGTTGGATAGACAAGAACTAATTTATTGTTAAGATCGTTTTGTGATTGTTAAAAATGACAATAATGTAACTAACATTTGGGCAATGTCAGCTCGATCTCTGATGAGTGTGGCGCTACGTCCGCCCCTCTCACAAACTCGCCCCAGCTGTCCACTGAGTTGTTACTGCTTTGCATCTCAAAGTTGTCCGCCTCAACTCCACCGTACGAATATAACTGAAAAGTTCCAGCATTTTAGTCTTTCAATGAGTTTCCACTGCCGAAACAATTGTACATAAACATTTCTTTGTATTGAATATACAATTTTGTACTGTTTTGTTTCTAGATTGCCGGTGTTTCAGCCATAAACAGATGTAAGGCTACTCATGTTGACCTTCCCTTTAACAGACTATCAAAATTTTTCTATCTTCTTATATGTAAAATTCTCGTGTCATAATGTTAGTTACCATACTCCTACAAAAACTAATTGACTAATTTGTATGAAATTTTATATACATATTTAGTAGGTTTGACAACAGACTACTATCTATTTTTTCATACTGCGGAGCGTGACAGATAGAATACCATAAACTAACACATAATATTCATCCAATAACAGTAAAATTATCTCTTATTAAAGAAAAATTGCAAGTTGAGTTAATAGTAATAAATGTGTAAATTAAATAACTAGAATAGTTCTTACATTATTAGACAGCCAATGTAGATCATCAGTAGGCACCCAAAAGGGATCTTCTCTCTGTCGCCAGTCGAGTGTATTTGCTGCATTATCTCCACAGTCTAAACCATTGTTAACTTGTGACAGATCTAAGTGAACACATGATGTGAAGTTAGAAAGTCTTTGTCTTAATTATAGTATTAATTGGAGTAAACCTCTTTAAAGACAAACTATTCATTTTAACATTTATAAATTTACTGATTGTCATATATAGTCAAACCTGAGAGATCCCTTGGCCTCTCTTATCTAGGTTTGAATGTATTTACAAAAAGAATTGGTTAATTAAGTGATCAATAGAATTGCACCAAAGCTATCAAATTTAATTTTATATTGTTTTTAAATAGTAGACATGGGAAAGATTTTGGATTGCACTGATAAAATGCATTAAACTATGTTTATTATTATTTTTAATTACCATTAGGATAATACTGTCCAAAGTCAGGTACTATTCTCCAATTTCCATTATGATCTTGCCAATATTTATCATCCTCCAGATATCTATAATTATTTGAATTGTTTTGTAAATCCTCTGTTTGCGGATCTAAATAGTTCTGTACAACTTCTATCCGTCCATCCAAAGATGATATTTCCGGTAATTCTACCAATTCAACCGTATTATCTTTTATTTGCTTAATTTCTTGAATATCTGTAGCTAAATTTGAGACATGGTTGGCGTTTTCAATATCTTTTGATATATTTACAAGTTGCATATTAGTAGTTACACTGTTATCTATAAAAATATGAATAATTGATTATAAATTAAACAATTTGGACAAACAAGATAACATTAAAAATAGCATACAAATAATTAATTTGTCAATAATAAGCAAAAGTACACTAACCAGGTTCTGTATCAAGAAATGCATTATTTAGCTGAGAAAATTCTACTTTAGGTTCATCCACATCATAAGTCTGGTTCAAAAGCTTCCTACAAAAACACAAATTTATTTTCACGCATATGTTAGGGGTCATAATATGAGATTTAAGTAGTTACATCACAACTACTGGAGACTACTATGGCAAATTAGAGTTGTAAAATCTACAAACATGTAAATTTATTTCCTGCTTTCTGCAGAGTAGAGGTAGAATAACGATCATTATAATATAGGTGGTCAACTCCTAATTGGGTTGGGCTTGGTTAGCTGAAGACCTTATAGTAATCAAATTGGAAGGTTTCTTCATCTTTCTACTGGCGTTCATTCGATTTTGCAAAGGTGAGCCATACAATTGATTGATGTAATTTCGGCATGATTCGGTATTATAAAGTTTTATTGAAATAGTTATTGCACTTACTTGAGATTTGATATTTTATCACGTTTATATTTCTTCGCATCCGATAGTTTCCAGTTTTTCTTCTTCTTATAAAACTCCAACCGATATATAGCTACTAAATCTGGTTTCGGCGACTCCATATCTTATGTAAAGGTATACGAAAATGAACTATAGACGAATTTAGTTATAACAAATACAACAAATTTATAGCTTTATTCTCTTGACATTACAAATTGTTCTTTTTCCTATAAATTTGTAAATTGGCGGTAGCTGTCAAAACAAAACAATTTCAAAACTGCTTTGAGATGTGAAAATTTACCCATAGTCACGTAAATACATTTTTTCTATCACAGATTAAAGGAAGTAAAGCATAAGAACGTAGAATAGGATCTAAATATTTTTATTTAATACAATATAACTCGAACAAAAGTAATACTAAACCACTTCTATAATAAAAAAATATAATAAAAGAATTTTAAAAAGACCATTAAATCTATTTTCAAAGTAAAATTAAGTTTTAGGTGTCAAAGTCTAGATTCGTCAGGATTAAAAAAATCCAGTTTACCAGGAGTTCTAAAAAGATGCTCTTAACCATTACATTGTTAATTTTTGAAACCGGTAATTATTATTAAAGTGAAAAATGAAAAAAATCTTTATTATTACAAAAAAAGAAATCAACTTATTGTGTTTAGTTTTCGCATTATGTACTATTTTGCGTAGTGAGTCTATGCATACACTATTTAGAAGGATGCTGTAATACTTGTAAAATGAAACAAGCAATAAAAATGACACATTTTAATCAAATTCAATATAAACATGTTTTTGGGTATCTTAAGTACTTATGAACGTTTATTTTTCTGTTTTACTACACTTAAATAGAAGCTGTAATTTCATTTGTAGTCAAATACATACCACATTATAATTAATAAATAAAGTCGAACTAGGACTTTGTTTTTACTTTAATTTAAATATGATATAATTTTTTCTAAATGCAATTTTAATTTATTTTCTTGTGGTCTCTATGAATATGAAATAGGTAGTCGTGTATGGAATTTGACGTTTCTCAGTATATAGAAAAAGCGTTCATTTGGAATGATACATCTGCTGGCTTATATCTTAATATTTAAGACTAAAATGGTGGAATGCAATTTCAAATTGTATATAATATTAAAAGTATACAACTATTCTGGTGCGAATACATTATATTTTTTAATTTCCATTGAACATAGCTTATGCCAATATTTAAATAAAAAAAATGTTTTAACTGATTTTTCAAATTTATTGATAAAGTGCAACATTATTAAAATATAGTTGTTTAAAAACGGTAAAGTGCACACCTAAATAACATTAAAATCATCTTTACGTACATGACTGAACTAAAAAATAACTAAAACTACGTACGCAAATCATAAGCACCCAAAACTAAAAAAACTTATTTAATACAATTAAAATTAATTTCTAAATTAAAAGGACGGATACATCAACTGTATTCAAACTCTAAATTGAGCCATTTTATAATGTTTAGGTTAAAGATTATTTATATCCGGAAAACTAAAAAAAAGTACGAGGAATGGAACGTTTTAGAAGCTGTCAGAATTGAAATCTTAATAAAAAAATCATGTTCTTAATTTCTTAAATGACAATAAAACATAACATTTTGTACCTTAACTGGATAAACAGTGTAAATATGGGATTCTTTATAAATAAAGCCTCCACAATTATTAACCCTGATTTGTACTTAAATCTAACAAAACATTGTAATAGTTACTCAAAGAATTAAAATACACAATTCGTAAACATTCCGTTAATGTAAAAAGTTTTTAGTTCAGTAAAAAAATGCAATAAATATTTACTTACGAGTAATCGGGGCATTGGCCGTAAAATTCCATTGCTTTAACACTTAGTAAAATATAATTTCATTTCTCTTTCGTCGAAAAGAATATATAGTAGTAATATGACAAACGGAATAGTGTCTTTGCCGAAATTAAAAAGAAAAAAGCTTATAAATATAGAAAATATACGCAATAGAAGACATGCGCTAGTGAAAGGTGATTTGCATTGACATTTGATTTTTAGTGTTGTCATTAGTTGTAATAAAATATATCGATAGATTTTTTTTAAATAAGCTCAATGTATTATTTCGTGAATTTAAGCATAATTTTTGTGCAATTTTTATTCCGTGTCACATAATTTACTTACAATCTAAAGCTTACAAAATACTACAAATATAATATCAATTCAAAAGCACAAGACAGCATTTATAGGAATATATGAGATTACTTTTCACTTAAAGTACTAAATATAAGAATTTTGATTTAATATATTTAAAAAGCATTCGAAATGTAGATATATTTTTTTAAACTTTTATGAGTTTTAAATACATATACGTATAAGCTCATAAAATATTAATAACACAAAATCTTAAATATTAAAAAAAAACAATAAAATATACTCTCAAATAAATATTTTACTTTCGGTGGAATTTATATTACGAATGTTTTGTAATTCAATTATATACATTTTATTAAGTATATAATTTTCTAAAACTGTTTTTAAACTTAAACTAGGAAAAAAACATTTATGACAGTTACTCAAAATTGTTTCTGAACGTAATAAAACCGTTGTTTGAACTTCTATATTTGAATTTGTACGCTATGGTTTGCTGATGGAAGTAGAAGTTTGAGATGATTAGGTTTATTCTTTAGTCTCCTGCTGGTTCTTGTCGGTGTAGACAATTTCAGCGTACTCAGTAGACGGCGGCGGCGGTTTCTCAGCGGTCTGTTCGCCGAGCTGCAGTTCAGCATACACTACGCCTTTCTTCTCTTCAGCCAGGATCTGTAAAGACAAATGTAAGTTTCTTTAGGTTCCAACTATGCTTAAAATAATTCATATAATGTTTTTTCTTTTTTTTCATTTAGTGTTTTTTTTTCTCACTTGCCCCTTTGTTTACCTTATCATCAGTGTCAGTGGTGGGTTCTGTTGCCTGCACGCGGTCTCTGGCGCGGGGTAGAGCGGCGCGCATGCGAGCTCCCAGCGCGCTCAGACGCGAGCGCTCTCGACCACCAACCGCGCTCTCCGTGTCGCTACTGACCAAAAAGATGTTGTTAAAAGATATTAAGATTTTAGAAACTATAAAGGTTTAAAAAAATACCAAGTTTTATCTCGTCTTACATTCCGCTTAGATATGTCAAAATATTTAGGAATGTACATGTGTATACTTTTATAAATAATGTGTTTATTTAAACATTTGAAAAAAGAAAGCACAACACTAATTGTCGGTTACCATTTACAAGACATTGTGAGAACTAAACAAAGTAAGGACCTAGCACAAATATTTGCGGCAAGCGCTACCGTATCGTAATCGACAAAATTTGTGCAACGCCCGTTCGCGAGTGCACTATAAATCTCATAAAAAATAATGACGTAATTGTTGATGACTATAACGATAGCGCTTGTCGCGATTATTCGTGCTAGGCCCACTGATATACTCACGATTCTCCAGAGCTTTTGGTGTGGTCACGTACGCCGTTTCTTTCTGTAAAAATGTTCGTATCATTATATAAAACTGCTAACTAATAGTTCAGCAAATATAAAAGTTTCTATGATGTTTTTACAAATACCGAATTGTAAATTAGCAACTTAAACTAAAATATTTTATGGATTGGTCTGCAGTTGATTTGTTGCATATGGACGTTTAAAGAACCATCGCTTAAAAAGTCTTTATAGTGGATCCCCAGGAGTCAACAGAACACCCAAAGCAGGTTCGACGATACCGTTGAATTTTTTAAAGTGTTTAAGAAAAAAAAGAGAATCTCTGGTTTAATGGAATTTTCTCTATATTTTCTTATAGTCCGGTATGGTGACAGTTATAAATGAAGCCTCGTCGTTGAACCGTGACTTCCGCTTTAGCTTTAGCGGGTGTAAAATGGAACCGCGGCGAACCTGAATTGATTTACCTTACCTTTGTGCTATTCTTTGGAATTTAAATAATGTAGCGAAGTTAATGTTGCAACACATTTTTTTAAATAATAAATCAACTTCGATTGTTTCTTTTGTTATAATTCTTAAAAAAAACAATTTAAATAAAAAAACCATAGACAACTTTTATAACACATTTTAAGTGTTCAACGCATAGAATAGACGAGAGTTTTAATTTTCTTACATTATAAAAATGTATGTCTATACTAGACTATTTATATGTATTTGAATTAGGATTAAGTTATTTTTCATGTGATTATTAGTCCTTTGTTTCTTTAATTCTACAGAATTTTATGTTTGTGTAATTATTCATTGAATACATATTTTAAGGTTGTTCATAAATGAAACAAAATATAATTTATTTAATAAATACGGTATATTCAATTATAATTCATTGTTATCCATTTAACGTTGAAATTTATAAACATTTATGCGAATTTTCCATCAATATTTCGACTAATTATTCAATAAGATTGGCATAAAATTCTCAAATATTCTTTTTTTTATCTTGTAATCTGTTATATTTTAACATCGTTTGATACGAAATTGTCTAGTGCATAGCTTTGATATAATAAGCTATTTATAAACGACAGCAATTTAATCAGTTCAAGATTTTTAACTAATGTCAAATAACAATTCATAGACATTTTGAAAAATTGATCGAACACAGATAAAATATTTATTCTGTTAATTAAAGTAGATGAGTAAAAAATGTAAAATTATGAAAATAATTATTTAATGGATTTAAAAGAATTATAATTAATGAATATTTCAGCTTACTTATATTTTACGATTTGAAATTTTGAAAGTTATTACGATTAATAATTAAATCTAAATTAAATTTGAGCCTAATTTTCAAAGCTGTTTGTTTTTTTGGCAAAGTGCAAAATGGCAGTGTTGTTTTATAATTGACAGAATCAAATTAAAAAAAACCGCTTAAACTAAACTGGTACAAAAAATATTCTTAACAAATTAATGTATTTAATTACAAAATACTAAAAAAAATCACAATGAAGGTGACTTATAGAACTAAAACTTAATATATTGTTCATTCCTTTTTACATAAAATGAGATTCGATTTGAAATCATACTTTCAAGTTATTATTTTTGAGGTTATAATCAGACATTTTATTATAAAGTAAAAAACATGTTTTTACAATGTCTTATACATAATATTGTCACTCAAGGAAACTTAATATAATAAGATGAAATTCTATTACAATTTATATACACAAAGAACTAAAAAGAATAAAATTATGGTGGTACGAACACAATCTTAACCTATAATTAAAAATTAATTATGTACGGCCATTAATTACAAATATGACAGATTAAAAAAATGAACAAATCTAGACGGTAATATAACATTTTTTAAAAAGTCTATCGTATAAAAACTGATATAAAATCGCAAGCAGTACATCGAGAAACAGTTATATAAAATTCATAAATTCTAAGAATGAATGTAAAAGTTCTTGTCTACATTTTATATTTTAAGTAGCTGTATTTGTTATTTCTCTATATATGTATATTTAGATAGATACGGCCTAATCTTATTATTTGACGTTGGGATTCGTTGTAATACATTATTGATATATGTATTTACGTTTTCAATTATGTCAACGAGTTTCTTAATATTATTTTTCACTACTAATACATCAAAAACATCATTATTCTAGAAGTGCGATCGAATAAAAAGCCATACTTCTTTAGGTTTATCTTATAATGTTTGAACAATAAGTACGTGTAACCTATATTAAACATTCTTATAAATACAGATGGAAAATCTTTTACAGTTTACTACTGGCAACACTCACGTTGTTATACATTTTTTTTAAATATTTGTAGGTTACGTACAAAGAGTAATCAAAGGTCGCATGGCTTTTTCTCCGATCGTTACGTAAACATTCTAAATGGTGGACAACATGAGAAAAAGACAATTATTTTTAATATATTATGCACACCTATTATAATAAAAGCGGCAGTAATGCGAACAGTATATAGTTTATAGGGCATTTAATATTTATTATAGCATTTAAGTCAATGTAATGAAAAACTTATTTATAATTTTTCAGTCGTTACCAACATTTCAATAAGTAACAATTTAAAATCTGGCAATACCAAACCAATATCGAAACGTACTTGCTATCGTTTAAAACTGTCACTCAGAACCGGGAACTTACTTTAGGAAATTAATTTTAAAATGATAAAATGAATAGCTCCGAGGTTGTTGTCTGAGTGACAGATTTAACTTACGATTTAGACGGCGGTGTCGGGTTTCTTTTCGGGGTGTTTTGTGTCTCCATTGCTGATATACTCGCCGTGGTCGTGCGAGGGATTTTCGGAGCCCTTGACGTCATCGTGCGGGGGCAGTGGCGCCTCGGAATCCGCCCCGTCGGGGATGTCGGTGCGGTGCGACCGCCCTGCCACACAAATACGTTAAGCGATCAAGAGAACCCGTATAACCGTTTTGATAGAAGTTATCTGCGTGTTAACTACTCTTTGATTTGTGATTTTAGTTTATGGTGGTATATACAGGCTGAAGTGTATAAGCTGTTGATTCATTAACGTGATGAAGCAACCTTTGCCCGATAGCTTGCATTATTGATTTATTTCGGTTAATTAAAAGCATCCTTCTACATTTCAATTCTTTTAATAAAAATGAAATTTAAGAAATGTCGCCAGTTAAAAAAATATGTAAATCGTTTCGTTTCGTAATTCAAAGTGCATACGAATATTATTACTACACCGTCCTCGTATATTTGTTTTATATTATTAATCGTATCGTATGGATATCGATAAAATTATATTTATACTATTTCTTGGCGCCACTAGAGATGCATATATAGATCAAGAGCACACTAGCGACACATTTAAAAATTTATTTTCAAATCTTTTTAATCCGCGTCTTTTTTTTTAAATATTATGTTTAAAAGGAAGCTATGATCTACATGGTGGTTTTTTTCCTCTTCCCGTTAATTATAATATTTTCAATTAATTAAAAAGTAATATTATTTTAATTTTAACCATAGATTTATTACGGGTCTATTAATACTACGATATTTGAAAGTTACTTTGTTATCGTATTCATTACATAAATATAGTTAGTTTCACATTTTAACCTTCACCATTAAAAAAAAAACAACTAATAAAACACCAAACATTGAGTTAAAAAACATAAATTACGTAAGGTCATAGATTAAGTATAATTTACTAGTGAAGCTAAAAGTTACAATCTCAAAACAACATTCTTAGTCCATAACATAGAATTAACTACATGCACATTTCCAAACTTTAATGAAGTCATGCTTTTTAAAAAGTAAAATGAGAATGAAAGAGAAGATGATAGAAAGAGAGCATAAAACCATTCACCGTAGCGTGCTTACGACTTAGAAAATAAGTCATGCAAAATTTAATTCATGTAGGGTTCTTGATCGCTTAAAATAGTGTTATGCAGGAAAAAATCACAAATTTTAACCTAATAACAACAATTTTATTCAACTTAAACATATACTACATAATATAAGACAAGCACAAGGGACATATTTTGCCAAAAACACTGCCAAATTACACTTCTTATTTTCTAAATCTACAACAGCCAAACAAATTCTACGATATTAACGCATACACATGTCTACACAAAAAGGGGAGCCAACATTTAAAAAAAATATTTTATTTATCGATGGTTTATTCGTGTAACTTTTTTTTAAAAGATTAAAAGAAAAACAAACCGTACTCGTATCCTACAAAATTCATTAGTGTTGTAACAAATATCTTTTCGAATATATTTTTCCAAGTGACATAAAGGGTGTAATATTTTAATTGACGAATAATTAGTCTTCTAAGGTTTATGTTAAAATCTACGTTAGCAATAAAATTAATTTACGAATACGGTTTGTAGAGTCTCGAATATCATGTGTAAGCAAACGCCCACTCCATATTATTTTGATGATCGCCGTGGGTTTTCATTGCTGAATTACCTTTACAAAAACATATTCTTCCGTTCATTAATAGGCCAGCGCTTGACCATGATTCTATCTAGTATCTGGTTTACACTATTCCAGTTTGATGTTAGCGCTGATTTTGAGCGCTATTCCTACTGTACTGGAATAATGTAAACCAGGCTTGACGTTAAGTGGTATTGTGATCGAAATTTGGTATGCGATAGTTTTTTAAATTTTTAATCTTAAAGGTCACGACGTCCTACATGGACGGATAAACTGATGCTGGCAACTTGTTTTATGTTTTTGTATAGGTGTTTCGGCAATGGGAACACGGTTTAGGTAAGCTGAAACACGTGATTGCTTTGTGATATTGTGAACATAATATTTCTATGTGTATTACCTATCGACCAACCGCCCCTGACCCTGTTGGGATATCCGTAATAATTAGTTTCATCGACTCGTAAATAGCATTAAAGGGCATGCCTAAATTAATCGACGGGGATTCAAGCGTAAGGAAGCACGTTCAAATACCAAAATGCGTTGGGACTAGGCAAGCTATCGAATTACAGAAATTACTGGCATCAAATTTTTTAATCGATATTTCGAATACAATATCGATAAAATGTTTTCCATTGTTTAACATCGATGGCTGCCAGTAAGGTCAGTGCGGTATCGATAAAATTAAAAATATTCAACCGCACTTCCCTAAGTTAGTTATCAAAAAATAGAGAGCAAAAAGATAAATCTCATTCATAAATTTTAATAAATATAACCGTGAATTTCCACTGCTGAAAAACATAAAGATTCCGTCATTCTCTTTGGAGAAAAGACAAGAAATGTTTACGTAGAGTTTCAGCAGTGGAATCACGGTTATAATACGATGCCATAAAGTTTTAATGGAGTATTTAAAAAGAAAAAAACTAACCTGCAAAACACCATCTGTCAGTTGCTTTGGCGAATACGACGAGGAATATGGCGATGATTAGGAATATAACAGCTATTACTATTCCAACAATAGCTCCGGTTTCAAGTTCCACACCTGTATAGAAAATACATATTAGAAATAAATATATACATAGAAATAATATGGCATATTTAATAAATAAATCAACACGTTCAATGTCCATGATGTTATGTGTTCTAATTCGTATAAAAAATCATAGTGACATTAAACGTGTTAAAACCTTTATTGGATTGTAATAATGTTATTAAAAACTAATTTATCGAGCATATTATTTAAATTAAATATAAACATTACTGACTACAATGATATTGGATTCAAACTATAAAAAAAACAGTTTTAATAATGCAGCAAGCAATACTACGATATGAACGATTCAATCGTAAAATAAAGTCTGACAAAACACACGTTACATTGGTTTTCATCTTTTTACTCTTTATATAATAATATATAAATTTAATTGAGAAAAAGCTTTGTAACTTGTGGAGTAAAATACAAGAATACAAAGTCAAAGAACAAGCTGGTAAAAAACATTCACTAACTGTGGATTTCCGAAACCAAAATCCTGGTTTAAAACTTATTGTTGACAAAGATAACATGTTTTGTACAGAGATTTATGTTTCAGAAACCAAGTACTTTAATATTTTTCCATCGTTTTAAATGACAGTGGTAAAGTCATGCAAAAAAATAAATTAGCAAATATAATTTCTAATTATACGATGAACTAAATACTGAATACTCAAATAACAATAAAATCATGCTAATTAAAGTAATAAATATGAAAATTAACTGATTTTTTACTTAAATCTTAAGAGAGCATTTCTACCATACAAATGTTCACAAGCTTTAACATCGAATTTAGAACTTCGATCGATATATTTTGATATATTTTGGTATATATCAAAGTATATGATCGTAGGAATATACGATAATTTGGAAGACATACTCATTCAATATCTACCATTCTTATAATATTATCTTACCGTAAATATCGATAATCAAAAACGAAGCTTTACGCGCTGTGGAAATATAATAATATATTTAAAATTAATTTGAACAATTTTCCTAACCTATAAATATTATTTTATTAAAACAATTAAATATATAAGATTAAAAAGCTTGGTGTAACTGTGTAATAGTGTTAGTCACAAATCGTTTTGTGATTTAAAAACAAATACGAACTCTATTTGACATTCTTTTTAAACGTGGTGGAAAGGTGGCTTAAAGTACCATAGACTTACCGGCAGGTTCATCCATCGTGCTAAGTCGTACTGAGAAATCTTCGCGGCCCAAGTCATTAGCCACAGTCAAGTAATATGTGCGGTCTACGTCCTCCTTGGCCACGCGAGCGAGTACCAATGTCACATTGTAGTAACCACCACCCTATGAAAATATTTAAACAGATTAATTAACATTTTTCTAGTAATATGAAGTAATAACATTCTATATCATCATCAGCTCACTATACGTCCCCATCGAGAGGTCGGAGCCTACAATAAGTTGGGGTGACTAGGCCATAGTCAATGCTGGCCAAGTGCGGGTTGATTTCACACATATCTTTGAACTTCTTCTCAGATATGTGCAGCATCACGATGTTTTCCTTCACCGTAAGAACGTCGGATAAATGTACAAAACCCTGTACCTGCAGATTGCAAGTCAAGTGCTTGAATCCCTGAGCCACCGACGCTCTCGAATATTCTATCCGTGTTGGATAAATTACATACAATCCAAAACTAGCAGTTATCGTATGTAGTTTTGAATGGTTAATCTTAGGATATTAAATATTACTAGCTATCGCCCGCGTCTCTGTTCGCATGGGATTAAAAATAGATAGTAGTCGAACAGACTTACTATGCATATAAAACCTAATAAAAATCTGTGAAACCCTTTTTGAGGAGTATGGTAACTAACATTGTGACACGAGAATTTTATATATAAGATTCAATACTGTTATTCAATTAAGTTACCAAATCAGCAGAGTTCAATGTAATTAAAGCGTGCTACATATTCGGTATGTAGTTTACAATGTCGTACCAAATGTACAGGCTCGAGGGCTTCAATGGACGCGTCTTCGTTCTTTTGCGGCGCTGTCAGTTTGACATCACCGATGGTCCACTCAGCGTGGGGGCGCGGGTTGGCTCGGACTGTCACGTTCAGACGACCTTCCTCTGCTATCTTCAGCCCGAAGATCGTAATGCTAGAGCTATCGTCAAGCCGTTTCGGTGGGTCTGTGAAAATACGTTTAAAGATTTAAAAAAAATCGATTTTAAGGACCTTGAAAGGGTCTTATTAATTTTTGTCTTTGGCTGTATTTCTTTCTGTGGTCTTACGATGTATCTGCTCGAAGGACCATATATTAACTATCCCAAGTAACAGGAAAACATCCGTGGTCTTTTAACACGTAATTTGCTATGAGAAGTCCAACTAAGCGACTGTAAGCAATTATTAACCCACACAAATTGTGTTAGGAAGAAAATCCGACACTGAGCCGGTTACTAAAATGTCGACGTTTATGTCCCCTCACTAATTATTCTGACAATAATGTCTAAAACTTGTAAGACACATTTATAGTTATTACAGATTATTTGGTTTTATGTTACTATTTTTATTATACGTACAATTAACAAGCAGCTGCCTGCTAGCTTCTTTAGGTTTGTCAAGGCTCTCATGTTCAGCGCGGCAGACCAGTCTCTTGCCGCTGTCATCCGCGGTCAGCGCCCGGCTTACATTCTGACGGATCGTCTGCAGGTCGCTGCCCGGTTCCGAGGTCACGATAGGTTGGTGAGTCCCCGCTAGCACTTGCTCGTCGTCTAAGAATATAGAGATTTATTAAAGGCATGTGATGATATCTTATTCAGGTTCATTAATTTGAAGTTCATTTTACTTTTATCTTATATAATACATTAACAAACAAATGAACAAGGAGTAGAACTAATTAGTAATGTTTTACCCAAAAACCAAGTAATCTTGGCGGCGGGTCGTCCGTTGGGCACGATGCACTGTGCCATGAAGATGTCACCTTCCTTGAAAGACGACTGCGGTGGAGAGATCAGCTGCGGATCTCCAGGAGCCCCTGTATGAGATTTTTACTATAATAATCTATTATTTTTTATATTATAAGGTAGCCAACAGGGAAGCGGCCACCTAAATTCGTTCAAATAGTGAAATTATTGCTGCCAATAGACATCTCCAGGTGCATTATCTATCTGTAATCGTCAGAAGAGGAGACGCACAGAAAGAGGATATGTCTCCTATGCATCCTTTCCTCCACTAAATCTATTCCCTGTTTCCCTTCCCAACCCTCAATTTCCTTATAAGAAAAGGTTGTGAAGGGAAAGTGGCATAAAACTAGACATTCGGCACACACATTCAGTAGAACGAAACAAGAAAATACATTTAATAATAAGTGTTTAAACTGAAATTTGACATAAACTTATTAAGGAAAGACTTTTGAGGTCCAGACTGGTTTCGGACCTATCGAAGGTCTGAATTGATTTAAACGTTTATTATGTAAAATTAGGTTAAATATGATGTGACTTACTTGCGACGAGCAACTGCATGGTGCCAGTGACTTCGATGCTGCCAGTCTTCGGCGGCAGGACGCAGGAGATGTTTCCGTTCCACTCCTCCTTGATGTGTTTGATTTGGGCACCACATTCTCCCACCTGGAAGACAGTTTGTACTTAAGCATGCGGTTCAAGGTATGATATATCTAATACTAAGATTTAATAGTGGTCTTTCTAACCTCCAAGCCTTGTCCATGATATACTACGTCGCCTTGGTTATTGGGTATCAGTCGGTAAGACGTGGGGCCCACGGTCATTCTGAAATAAAACAACACAATTTTTTTTAACAAAGATCAAGAGCTTGTAGCAATATATTATAGTTCCGGCATTTTGAGGTGGACAGTTTGTTTTTCCAAACCCAAAGTACACAAGACTAAGAACTCTAGTCTACGTAAATATTTGAATACGCTACTGGAGTTGATACTATCTAAAAATCCATGAAAATATTCATCTTGTTTATTTTATGTGTATTTAATTTTTAATTCAATTACAGTCGAACAAATACGCGACAGTCAAAGGGACCGTGATGTTTTCTCGCTTATAGCGGTTTTTCTTACCCGAGTTTCTCGCTTATGAATGTCATCCCTCAGATCTTACAATGACTAGCGCTTATCCAGTTTCGACTATATTTCAATTTTTTTAAATTTCATCTTTGTAATTTCACATAGATAAATACACTTAGAATATGTTTGTAATCAAAGCATACATGAAGACGTATCCACGTTGAACAACAAAACACGAGTTTAACATCGTAGTTACGCATAGTTGAGTTGTACCGGTGAGTTAACTAAGACGTTAAACTTGCCAACATCAGTGCTAAGTTTCTGCCACTTGCGAACCCATAATAGTTATTCACAAATAATTCGACGACACAAAATTATTGCGGTCATGTAAATTCATAATTAGCAGAAGGTCTTCTAGTACAAACTAAATGCATAGGTATCTATCAAACGAGATTATATGTCGGTTGAGTCACTGATGAACAATTTCGTTACACGAGTGAGATGAAAGATATATCATGGTGAGTAAGAAAGAGACAGATATATCTATTCTGTAGCATCTTGTAGCAATATTTTAGTACTTACCGACAGGAGTCGATACGATATGGCACTTTGCAGAGCACTATCAGCTCATCACCAACACGTCGCACTGCCTTCAGTGGAGTGATTTCAACATTTTGAGCTGAAACAATAAAAGAAAATATTAAGACCAATTAACAATAAATGTAAATAAGAGTTACGGCTACTCGGTAAACATTTAATGTAAAAAAATATATGTAAAGACATATGTCAGTAATAAATATATTTAATATAAGCATTACTACTCAACAGTGAAGCATATAGTGCTCAGAATGTATCGAATTCCAGAACCGCTTTGTACCGGCTGTATCTAGTTCAAATCGCTTTGGCCCGCCATCCGACCGAATAATCCTGGATGCCTTCGCGAAATTTTTATGTCTGTACGTCTTCAAAGCAGACTATTTCGTATATTAAACGAAATCAAATAACATGTTTAGTAACGCATTTTAGTTTGTACCTACATACCCATCTGTTGGATGAAAGTTAATCTGTGGAACGCAATATCGCTGGTTCGACAGAATAAAAAAGATTGTCAGTATAATGAACTGTCACACGGTGATTGCTAGCCTCGCTTGGTTCAATCAGTCTCAGGTGAAAACGAAAGAGTGACGTCACTCGTATATCATTTGTTTTCTATGTCGACGTAACTTGAATAGAACGAATATTTTATCACGTGAAATTATAACGCGTACTAAATTTATATTAATAAAAAAATTGATAAAACCATAAACAAGAATAATTATTTTTTAGGGATAAAAGCACGTTTTAGTGCATGGACTAGTGAATTTAAAAAGAAAGCAATAACGCGAGTGCAGTCAGATTCGGAAGTTCCTTTTTGATACGACGCCGTCTGGGCATTGTTTTCTCGCTACATAAAACTAAAGCAAAGGAACAAAACATCACCACTGTGGATGCACATTTTTATTTAAAATAGTTATTTTATTTTAAATACTATTTATGTAAACATAAGAAATTGTTCAATTTCTTTTATTAAGATCTTATTGTTTAATTCATAAACCCTTATTTAATTATTAAACTCTCATAGAAAATTAAGAAAACAAATATTAAATGTACTTTATCTCCTTTGGCAGCAACAATGAACTGCAAAGTTGAAACCGCTATAAAGAGAAAATTACATTTAAAATATCCGCAAACCGAAGGAAACCCCGTTGTGTGAAAGTTTGAGAGCCGCCGGCAACGCTTCCTAGTTACACGACATAGTTCGAGATCTTTCCACCGGTTCTCAACTCGAGGGAAAATTGTTTGGAAGCACAGCCGTTTATTGAGAGTGCTAGATTTATATGGTGCTATAAATACTGGGCGCATTGTGAGCTTCCTTAAGAAGTTTAGATGTTTGTCGTCACAAGCCGACAAGTTAAGATTTCATGTTGTTTTAACAACTAAATATCTGATTAAGAAATGACTGCTGGATTATAATTTCCTTTTAAAAATATTTTTTAATTTATTCTTTTCCGTAAATAATCTGCTTTTTTCGTTATGCTATTCTGAAATTTACCTTTTCATGTTTACCAAATATTAAAATCATATTTTCGTTACATCTAAAAAGCTCCTTGAATAGATAACAAGATATAATCTGTATTCTTCCTCCGAAGTGAACGAAGTATAAAAATCTATGACGTCATAGAGCCATCACGTGCTGTCAGATGAAAAATGTAACGAATGTTCATGGCTACAAAAAAAGAAAAAGGTAAATGCACTACATACGGTAGTTTCGTATCGTAAAAACCAGCTTCGAAAACGACAATCGAAAATTACTTATTTCAAAATTCGAATGCCGTCATTTAAAAATTCGCCAAAGATGAACTAGCTTAAAAAGATCAAGACACCAAAAGAAAAAAAATACAGTGACAATCATAGATTACACATAATTTTGCTAAATATTTGATTAAACTTTATTTATTTTATATTTGAGTAATATTTTAATCTGTAAATAGCTATTTAATACGTGCTGCATACAGCAAATATGTAGTGTGTGAACGACGCCGAATAGCGCATAGTTTCTGTACAGCTTTGACACAATTAGTGCGCTATAAAATAGTTTGTTCCCAGCACGGACAAGTTTTTTGTTAAATTATTATGTTACCGACATAATGCAGACTTGGCCAAATTGATAGTAGTGTTATTTGCTTTATAAAGGAACATTTTGATGCTTGAACGGTATTATAAAAATGTCAATAAATGTTGCATTTACCCCAATTTATTTAGTGTTGGTTAATTTATCAATTAATTGTATTTGTTAGTGTTAAAAAAACATGGTTTTAATCATCATCAGCTCACTATACTTCCCCACTGAGTGGCTCAGAGCCTACCCTAGGACTCACAAACTTCACACATATCTTTGATTTACTTCTCAGATATGTGCAGGTTGCATCACGATGTTTTCCTTCACCGTAAGAACATCAGATAAATGTACAGATGTAACTCGAAAATCGAAAAACACATTGCTACATCGAAAAACTTATTCGAACACAGGCACTGCAGATTACAAGTCAAGTGTTAAACCCCTGAGCCACCGACACTCTGGATGGCTACAATATATAGAAATAAATACTATAAAACTAGAGCTAACACTAAAGTATTTAATCCATTAATCTGATATATCTGTACGACGTACAGTGCAGTTAATAACTACAAAGTGGGACAGTGGCGGCCATTGATGGAATCCATTTGGTGGTAAATAGGGCGAGGATCCATCGCCAGAAGCCCGATGAGCGTAATTGAACAAAAAACAACGCATCGCTATGACTTCAGACAATCAACGTGTTTACTTCAATGTTACTAAGAACAGTAGCGTATGTGGAGTCGAAATATTTTAATATACTTGGTTTTAATATAGTTTTATTTATCTGTTCATGTTGCTTATCTTTTTGTAGAGTGTAATAAATCCTTAGGACTGCACTGTCGATTGGATAAGTGGTGTACTTAAATCGTATATGTACAGGTGTCCATGATTAAGTTTAGTTAAATATTCATTTTTATTTAAAAAAATATATAAATAAGATAATATATGTACAATTCTGTAAGTAATAACGTCTCCAAATATTTCTCTGTTCCAAGCGTAGGATTACTACAAATTGTTGCGTCTATTAGGATGTATGGAGGTACACTGACGTTTATTTTAAGGACAACAAGAGGTCAACGTAGTTAGACGTCGTACTGTACGCGTGTACAATATACATATACTATGATATACTACACATTGACTTTACTATTACGTAGTTGGGTATTGTCACAGTTTTTCTAGAAAATTATTAAAAAAAATTAACTAACATCGGATGATTATTTTTATGCTTATATGAAATAAATGTTTTCTAATCAACGTATTTTTCTGACATATTTTTCAAGTGAACAATGTTTATTTATTATGTATTAATTACATCCAAAAATCTTACTTATATTGTCGTACTAATATTATAAATACGAATGTTTGGATGGATGTTTGTTAGAATAAGAAGGCATCTCCAGAACGGCTGCATGGATCCCGGTGTAATTTGGCATTGATTATAACATAGTCTGGAAGAACACATGGATTACTAATTTTTTTTTTCATTTTGCGCTAACGGAGTCATGGCCGACAGCTATAACGAAATAAAAGCATAAATAATAAGTTAGTTCACTTGGTCTATAGATCACTTGGGGCATTTCGACTTAGGTTAGATTAGGTTAGAGTAATTGCTGACTTCAATAGCTGTAGCTTCTCACTTAATCATAGCCGTTCGTTTGCATCAAAGGAGCAAATTGTATTCGATCTAGATAGATTGAGCTTTTAGCTCCAAACCAATATTCGCTATTTCATCGTAATTTTGCATTAAAATGAGCTGCGTACACACGGGGAGGATTCGAGGGCTTATCCTAAAAGCCTTGCAATGTACTCCAACTAAGCGATTCGTCCCGTGGCCCGGAAACGAGCGAACCTGGAATTCCTTTTATCTCGTATTAGAGGACAATATGTTAATATTATTACTTAAGTTTTTTTTAGTTTTTATAGTAGTTGTATATAAAATTTTGGAGGAAATTAAAGGAGTCTCAAAATAGAAAAAGTTAATGGTCTAGAAAATTGTCTCAGTTGTTCTCTGGTATACAAATTCGACAAAGTTACTCGCTGACAAAGGAATGGAAGTAGATTTTGAGTTTATTAGAAATTATCTTATCTTACTAATATTATAAATGCGAAACTTTAGACGGATGGATGTTTGTTAAACGGATCTCGATTAATTTTGGCATAGATGCAGAACATCTGAAAGAAGACATAGACTACTTATTAAGTTTTTTTTTTTAATTTTTCGCGGACGGAATCGCTTGTGCCAGCTTCTCTAAAACAATTTAAAATAAGCTTAAATTGTGTAGTATGCTGTTTAATTAACATCTTCCAAGATATTTCGTATGCAATAAAATAAATTCATTAGATATGCCTGGGAACTGAGATAAAACCTTTGTAATTAGGAGTCAAATGGTCCACAATCATAACAGGAAGTTCTCAATACAGTTCTAAGAAGTGACGCGATTAGAAGGTACTAACATAATTTAATTAGGTTTTATCTGAAATTTGATAACAACACATGATATTCGAATATTATTCATTTGTTTTTATCTACTTAATTTGTTCATTGTTAAAAAAGAGCTAGGTTTTTTTACCTTCTGTAAATGTCATTGGTTGAATAAATTCATTTAAAGTTTTGTTATATTATTTAATTTATAAAGAGATACAATGTCGCTGTGATATATTTTATAAAATATTATTCGTATATAAACTCGAATTAGTGTAACTAACGGTGAGTTTCTGAATCCATATTCCTCGTTTAAAAAATATTGTTGGGAGTAAGGGACGAAAAAGACAAGTTAAATATAAAATCAAGATATTAGAAAAAAAAGGAAAAACAAAGTGACCGCAAGGTTTAAGCTTTTCCAGTTTATGTTGGATAAATTCAACACTAGCTATCTGAACATTTTATTTAATAGTTATAATATTAAACTCTTTACCGAGAAATAATTCAAAAACAATGCTACAGAGAAACTTGTCCAGTTTCGAATGCATTTAATCTTTTATACAAGTACAAAGCGAAGTTTTAAGTCTGCGAAACG